AGTCATGATTCATTACTTAGTACTTGACAGACGCTCAAAAGTGAAAAGAGACAGCTGAGCCCACCTTATGTTCTAGGCAGGTCAGGAAGCTATTTCTGTCCTCACTGAAAGGCCAGAAGCTGTAGGGACGTCAGCAGCACACACTAACACTCAGTATGTCTCCGAGAGGGCATTCTAAGGCAACTGAAGACAATTAACAGCTAGCTGACTTCTGTTCTCCAAGCAAAGAGTAAGTTGTCAAGATGCAGGAGCTATAAGGAAGACAAGTGACTAGATGCTTCGTGCAAAGTGGCAAGTTCTCCAGCCATGCTGGGCTCTGCAATGCCTTACTTCAGGGGTGTCTGTTATATGAATTGGCCTTCCAAGCTTACATCAAGGGCTTAGCAACCACACAGCTTATTCCGTGCTTCATTTCCTGAGAAAATGGAATTGATTTCCAGTGTAGATCAAGAAGGAATGAGGTTGACTTATCTAAGTGAAGATAGTTATGAGCCAGAAGTCATAGACACTTGACCCACAAACCATACGCAACCATAAACAAGATTTGTATGTGGAGGGGATATGCCTATGTGAGCATGGTGTTTGTGTGTGTGATACACACCCCCATACATCAGAGGTTGCCATTCGATGGCTTCCTCTATCTCTCTCTCTACCTTTTAAAATATATATTAAAATTATTATTTGACAATTCCGTACATGTGTATAATGTATTTCCATCACACACACCCTCTCATTGCTCTTGCTTACTCCCTCCCACTCCTCCTGAACCCCTCTCCTCCCTTATTTCTTGAGACATTGTCTCTCACTGAACCTGGTGCTCACCAATTGGCTAGACTAGCTGGCCAGTGAGGTCCCAGAATCTTCCTGTCTCTACCGCCTAGCACTGGGATTGGAGATGGGTGCTGTCACCCTCTGCTTTTTTTGGCTGATGGGAACCCAAGTTCAGGTCCTCACACTTGCACAATAAGCGCTTTACCCACCAAGCCTTCTCCTCAGCCTACAGACAAGATTTTCTTTAACAGCCCTGAGCTTGGCGGCACACACCTGCAATCCCAGATCTCAGGAAGAGGAAGCATGAAGATGTCCAGTTAGAGACTAGCCTGGATATACATCTGATGTCAAGTCAAACCTGGACTACCCAGAGAGGCCTTGTCACATAACAGAAAAAAAATGTTTTTATTGTCATATGTTGAAAAGAAAATATATCGTCAGTATATAGAATTTGAAATGTTTATATTAAGACATAGATGTCTGGGTGCTAATTCCTCCAAGGCTGCGGACCTCAGACAGCATCTACCATTTTACACTTGTTCCTTAAAAGAGACTATTTTATCCGTGTTCCTTGCCCAGTAGAGTTTGAACTGACTCCTAATAGAGCCAAAATAAAACTTACACCTTACTCTCTCTACTTCCACACAAAGGGTGAGAATTAAGAATACTTCCAGATAAGGAAAAGACACTGTATGTCAGGTGGAGAATTTTATGCTGCTTATCTGACTAACGCTGACACACCAAGAGCATCCTAAAATGATAGCACACAAGCAAGATGTGAGACTTGAGTTCGTTGGAACCATTGCCATGACTTTCCATCTTAGCCTGCCTTTGCCGTCATAGGTTTGAGCTTCAGCCATCCTCTGTCCGAGGCCATAATCACAACTCTTTGCCTCTTTTATTCTTCCTCTCCTTTCTCTTGGATGCTCTCTCCTCCTTATCTCTAAGCTCGCTTGCTCTCTCCGGTTGTTGAAGCCGTGTAGTGGAATGATTGCGGGAGAATTAACCCGGTCATTTTTTTTCTAAAACTAGCCCTAATAAATCCAGTCATGGGTAATTCACCTGGCCTTGGGCCTCAGGGATGACCAGCCTTCAAGCTGACATTCCTTTTGCAGTTACCTGTGCTGAGTGCCTGGTGCCTGCACCTTTTTCTGACCTTGTGACGCTGCTTTCCAGTACCTCGTCTTGGAGAAGGGTGTGCTCTGCAGAGGAAGCTTATACAAGAGTGGGGAGAGCCCTGGTGAAGTCGGAGCACTAGTAGGGTAGCCCAGTGATCCCTGTGCTCTCTCTTGTGATCAGCATCAGCACCAACATCCTCAGCCTGCTTCCCTCGATGCTCGGCCCTAACCCCCACCACCACACTGACACCTGTTTGGGGAGACCTTCTTGAATGAAACAGGGGCCTGTGGATAGTGAAAAATTTGCCAAGAAAACTGCCATTTCCATGAGGGGAAAAAAAAAATTCACTTTCTCTTCCATAAAATAAAGGGTGTGAGCACGCCTTGCCCCTCTGTTCGCCTCAGATGTTCCAGGAGCAGTGGGGGCACCTAGGAAATTCACTTTCCCAACTGCTGCTTCAAGTGGTACTTAAAATGCAGAACATAAAACCCTGTAAATTCCACCGCACAGCCAGAGCCCTGAGCCCTTAAATGCACAGAAAAGTGTGTCTATTATCTACCCTTTCAGAGTAAGTGTGCAGTTACTTAAATTGCTTTTGTCTTCTTCTTCTTTTCAGCTGACATTATCTCTACGGTAGAATTCAACCACACAGGAGAGTTACTAGCGACAGGGGACAAGGGGGGTCGGGTTGTAATATTTCAGCGAGAACAGGAGGTAAGTGTCAGCCAATTGGAAATTCTCATTTTCTCCCCTTTTTAAGAGGAGGCCTCCCACTGTGCCTTAATCCTCACGTGTCTGCCGCCCTTAACCTTGCCTGCCGCTTTGCTCACCAACGTAAAACTGCCAAAAAGTCATTAGCTTCCACAGTTCTTAAGTTCAGACTCACAAAAGCACCTCAGAGAGGGTTCTCCCCGGGCAGGGCCTAATCCTTCTGCATCGTGAACGTTGGGAAACAGCAGCTGTTCTCGTCTGACCTGCCCAATTCCACAGGTGCTTGTGGAGGAGCGAACTCCAGCTGTTGTCTTGGGATCTCTCCTCCGGGTGTTGAAATTCAATCTCCCTTCATTTCAGGTACTGCCAGAATACATAGGAGAGGGAAATAGCTTTATTTGACAACAGTGGTAGAGAGGGCATGTTGGGTCAATAGAGAAGAAAATGATGCTCAGCCTACCAAAGGGGTGAAATCCTCCAAAAGGGCTTCTCGGCCCAGCAGAGATGGCACGTTAGTGTGGGTCCCTGGAGCTGGGTATGTTATATCATGCCATGTCCATGGCTGGTTTCTTCCCGAGGCTTGGGTTCCACTAGAAATCCTCTCTTCTCCACATAAATTGAGGATGCTCCCCCTCCCCCAGGCCTGTTTCTGTTTTCTCAGAATGGAATTACGGCCCGGTTTGCTTTCCTTGCCCTCTCCTGGCACACGCCCTTCCTTCCAGTGGGGTAGTCTGTGTTCTAGCGACTCTCCCATCTGCCACTGTCTTCCTCTGAGATTCACTGGGCACTGGGGAGGTGTGTGTGGGGGGGGCCCAGTGTTAAGAGGAAGGCTCCACAAGAGACTTCCCTAGCAATTTAAAGCCTGCTTTGTGCCTCCAAGACATTTGCATTACACCTCCCCCTCAAAAGAGGAAAGCCTCATTTAGGGGTGATATATTTGGTAATTGCACATTATTTGCAATTAATTTCTATAAGGACTTCATAATCCCTTGGGTTTCTGTGTAAATTCAAGTGCTCGGCATTAAATCAGGCACCCAGCCTATTACATTGGCCCCAGAAACATGAAAATGTAGTTGGCAAGTAAGAACTAAATCGCTCTTCGTGACCTGGAATTTTTCCTGCTTTTTCCAGAGCTGCCTGGTGCTAATTGGTCTGGCACATGCTACACACACTTGACAGCCTGATTTGGATGGTAGCAAATCAACCCTCTTAGAAATTTTTTGTTAAGGTAGACCAGTCCTCTGTGAGTAACCAGAAGAGTGTCGAGGATGTCAGCATCTAAAGTCCTTTGAAAACTGATTTTCAAATCTCCAATTTAAAAAAAAAAAAAAATCCAATTAGGTTCACAGCTATGATTAAGGGGAACTGGGAGAGCTATTTAGCATAAATTACCCAAGGCTGCATGTTGCCAGTAATATTCCACCCCACATTTTCTGCTAGCTATTTATAGGTTTCACCTATTTTCCTATACTGGGAGATTTGGGAAGCCTGACTCATTAGGAGAAAGATGGGGGGCACACCTTCCAAAGCAGTATGGGTGAGTTCACTGGAACATAAATGCCTGTGAGGATGATGAAGGGGTTCAGTGTTAAGCTTCAACGGAGTTCATCCGGCATACATGGCTTGCCTGACAAAAGCCATGTGACATCATTTGGGGCCAGTGACTCTTAACTAGTATTGTCACTCCCAGAAAAACTGCTCCAAAGGACCTCCTTCTTCAGTGTCTGCACACCTCTGGGCTCGGCAGAAGTACCGTCTTCTGGGCAAGCTGCGATATGCCTTTGGGTGTCCTGTGTCCATCTAAAATCATATATTTTAAATTGAGTCTTCTTTTAAAAAAAATCAAACTTTGATTTAAAATATGTTTAATGAAACCCAAATTTTAATTTTTGAACAGATTTTCAAAGCTAAGTCTCAAGACTTTAGGTAACATGGTTCCAAAGTACCTGCAATACAATCTTCCCTCCTGTGGCTTTCTCTTTGTCTCTTCAATAGGCTTTTCCTCCTCTTCACCTTTTTTCCATAACTGCAGGCCCTTGGCTTTGTGTTCCAGTGTCTCATCATTTATTTAGTTCCTGCTGTTTGCACTTTGCATAATTAGTGCAAGGGGAAAGACGTAGGTAAAGCCCATCATTCTCCTCAGGAGGCAGATGGCATTCATGTACAGATGGCCCTCTCATCACTATACTGGATAAAAAATGGAGGTGGGAGGGACTGGTGCCCAAATCTGCTCCATGAGTGCTGTGTGACCTTAGAAGAGTCATTTATACCTCTGAGCCTCCGGGGTTCATCTCCCAGCTCTACCCACATCTCAGAGATTCTGGAACCATTGAAAGTTGCATTTACTACAGCTTTGCGCCTTTCATGGGGATTGACATAAGTATGTGTGAGCATCACCATGGAATGGGCCACTCAACATTTCCTGAAATGCACAAAGATTCGAATATTAGATCTTCTATTTGTATTGATTGCAAAGTCTTGGCCTATTTTTTTGACAAGGTTTCTCTGTATAATAGCCCTGGCTATCCTGGAACTCTTTGTAGACCAGGCTGGCCTCAGACTCACAGAGATCCACCTGCCTTTCTCTCCTAAGTACTGGGATTAAAGGTGTGCACCACCATGCCTGGCAGCTTCTGTTTCTATGTAAATGTTGTGATATACACTTTGTGTTAATATAGTTTAAATATATAATTTATAAATGTGTGTGTGTGTGTGTGTGTGTGTGTGTGTGTGTGTGTGTGTGTGTTTCTGTTATTTGCCAACAGAGTGTGTGCTTTGGGGACCAGTAAATTAAAGCTGGATCTATGGCTGCCGTGATCTTGGCCTCCCCACTCAGTGATGCAGCCTGCCAGTCCACCCCTGATGGCTTTGCTCAAAGGGAAAAAAAAAAGAGTTGGCGCTTGCTTTAAATGGTTTAATTTTCTGTGTGTGTTTTACCGTCCTACAGAGTAAAAACCAGGTTCATCGTAGGGGTGAATACAATGTTTACAGCACATTCCAGAGCCATGAACCCGAGTTCGATTACCTGAAGAGTTTAGAGATAGAAGAAAAAATCAATAAGATAAGATGGCTCCCTCAGCAGAATGCAGCTTACTTTCTTCTGTCTACCAACGGTATGTGGAGGTGATTTTCTTTTTCCTGTTTGACATTTTCAGAGACAGTCAATCAGACCTGTGAGTCTCGCTTAGCCTTAATGTTCCTCCGACACTTGTGGGCTTGTGAGAAACTTAGAAACCCTGTTTGCAAGATGCCTAGAAAAATCCATGGTGCACACAGAGTTGAACTCAGTAAATAGTAGCTATTCTTTTTATAAATAACAAATTTATGACCCAATTCTAGTGGAACCCGTTATCTGCAGTTTCCTAATGTAGATTGCTTGCAGGTGTTTGGGGAGTGTGACTTCCTGTCTTAAGATTCATCACATGTTATTCTGGGAATGCATTTCAGGAAACTTGAAACGCTGTCGGCATTTTGAAAAATAGTTATTAATCCCTGAATATATTTTAGGGTCTGCAAAACAGATGTCTGTGTATCCGAGAAAATCAAGTTTTGAGCTGGGAGCACAAGACCAGAGGAGCTAGGGATGCTCCCCAAAACTGATCAAGAAACAGTCCTATATGCCTTCAAACTCTCCATGTCCTATAGGCTTAGGGAATATTGATATCAACAGAGAAGAGGAGACATTAGCAGTTGAATAAAGCCTGGTCACATATTCACTCCATGAGTGAGGTTGCCTACATTCCAGGATTTTAAATGAACCCCTTTCTGGGGGGAAAAAAAGCCAGCTTGGAATTCAGTCACTACTGAAGAATGCTAATGGGAAAAGATAATAAGACGATTCAGACAGAAAAATTAAAGACCATTGCCCAAGCAAAGAAGTTGAAGAATGATTCATTTCATCATGTGTGTGAGCCTATGATGAATATATGCTTGAATATAACTTAAGATTCTCATATCAAGTGCAGAAAAATGCAAGCAATGTCTGTAATACAACCAAGTATATACTCTTTTTAAAGAAGAGAAAGACACACAGCAGAAGGCTTTCCATTGCTTAGCCTTGACTGTGCATGGTGGGTCACTTGTAAATTTGTTCCTTTTGCCATTTTAATTTTGAAAGTATATACAGTGAGTCATATGTCAATCGTATAGAAAAGAGAGAGAGAGAAAGGGTAATACAGATGATCTCCCAATCTCTCAAATATAAAGCCAGTATATAGATCTAAACTGTGACAATTCTAGATCAGCTGTTTGGGAGTTACTCAAGCATACCTCAATATGATCAGATCTCTACATCTCTGCTTTTTTTTTTTTAAGATTCCAATTAATTTCATTCCTTCTGGTAACTGTATTTATTTATTGTTCTGTTTACTCTTTGCAACCCTGATCTCTTGGAGGCCAAATCACCTCATCTTATTTCTATTTATTCTCTTGTGATTTTTTTTTTCTGTTCAAGTCTCTCTCAGAGACTTTGTTGTCACAACTACTGTGAAAGAGACTTATGGTGGTTTTGATGTAATTACTTCAGTAGCAGAGAAGTGTCTGATTGTTCTCCATAGCTAGATTACATTATATTATGAAATTTAGCCTATTGATTATTGCAATAAAATCCAAAGGCTTATTAACTACTTTGTAGGGGTGGGGGATGGGAAAGAAAGTGAAATTCAATGAAGATTAATTATATAGCATAATGTTCTGTTAATTGAGTTTTTAAATAGTTTTTTGATTAACAAGGATATTATCTTCCCATTTGGGATGCTATTTCACATGCCAATTGCATCTCAAAATGACTCTTCTAAGAAAAATCCCCATGTTCTTATGCGGTTTTCTTTTCTATACTAATATTAAGGTTGAAAATCTCCCCCTGAGCCAAATAGGTTAACATTCAAAAATTAATGGAAGACAATGGGAATTACTACATAAAAGAGAAAATGAAGATAAATGATAAGGTTGTGCTTAAAGCTGCCACAAGTGATGATAAACTACTCGAGAACTAGGCAGAAGAAAGAAAAAGCCATTTCTCATATTAACAGCCGCATGTTCCTTAGAGTTTTTTTTTCCCCCACAAAGCTCCAAGATTCTGAGTCAAATGAAAATGCTGTGATAATAAAGTCAAGTGTGACCCCAGGCAACACAACCTTGGGGAACTGGATTGAATTCTCCATCAATTATCTTTTTGGAGGGAAAGGGTGCTTATCTCATTAGTTGAGTATAGTTACTAATTCTGCTAGAATATGTTTTTAACTTCATAGCTTTCAAAGAAAAATAAAGCTAGCATTCTATTGTGAAATAGACCTTGAAGTTAGTTGCCATACAAAGACACATTGTTCTGTTTGGGTTTACTTCTCCTGCCTGGCTGCTCATGGTGAGAAAAGCAGGAGAGTGTTCTGGTGTTTATTGTGAAAACTTTAAAAGACACAAAGCAAAGATAATGTGTGTTTAGGTACAGAGAGAACTACTGTTAGTGTCTCTTAGGGAAAAAGAAAAAGATGTGAATAATGTGCTTAGTAACAAATTTTAAGCCAAGTTTTTTAATTTAATAATATAGCACCAAGAATATTTTCCTAACCGATATTTTATTAAAATACCATATGATTTTTTAATGACTGCATATTACTTCCTTGTATGATTTGATTCTTCTGTGTTTTAGTGACTGCGTATTATTTCCTTGTGTGATTTGATTCTTCTGTGGCCTAATAAGTCTCCCACTATTAGGCTTTTAGTTGTTAACAAATTCTTACTACAAATTATGTATCCTGTAGTGTATTATATTTTATGTAATAGATTATGTAAATACAGTATATGAATAGCTGTTGATATAAATATACAATCAGGTCAAATACAGATATCATCTGTATAGCATAGTGCTTGTTAGAAAGTGCTTGGTAAGCAAGGAAATAGGAAGACTGCAAGAAATGGGCACAGTAATCACAGTCTAAGTTTTTCTTTTCTAACCTTTCTGCTCATTCTCACTTTCCAATTACAATGGCATGTACCTCTTATATAGTAAAAGGAGGAAAGTGATTAAATATACAACTTAGTGTACATAATGTCATTATAGTCCCTTGCCCCCACAATACTGCATACAGAAAATGCAGGAGTATACACCAGAGATGGTCATGGTGGAGCATACCTTCAATTCCAGCACTAGGCAGGCAGATGAAGGTATCTCTAGTCCAGGAAAGCCAGAGCTACATGGGAAGATCCCATCTAAAAATCAAAAAGAATATATACAAAATATTGATCATGGGTTATCCCTAACTGGAGATCATATAGGCAACTTTTATCCTTGTGATTTACCTGTGATTTCTATTTTTCTATATGGCAATTTGTCATTTATAATATAAAATGCCTTGCAAATAACTAGATTTGGACACATTTCAAAGCCAAGAAACAGAAAGTATTTGGAAGTGAAATCCACTGGCTTAGCTTGCTCTCAGCCACAGCTGATAAGGAGCAAATCAAATGACTATATAAATATGGCCCATGTTTAACTTTCTCACTCTAAAAAAGCAACTTCACGTGAACAGGATCTCAAGAGAACTTGGAACAAGAGGGATGTGAGCATAGAGCTAGCAATTTCTAAATTAAGCCCACAGCTGGGAAAAGCTCTCCTCCCAGCACAAGTCGAAGTCAGCGCATAGATGAGAATACATGGATCCCGCAAGGAACAGCCTCGCCAAACATGAGGCTATAGGCTTGGAAGCCCAAATAATACCCAGGTATATGGAGATGGGTTTTTACTAAAATATCCCCATTGCTGCTGAAAGCCCACAACATAGTACTTTGGAGACCTCTAAGGACAAGACATGAAGTCGTGAACTACTGTGAGGTCATGTGCCTTTGCTCCCAAGAGCAGCCCTCCCAAGTGTGAAGAAGTACGGAAGTGATAGTGTGGAGCCTGGTAAATAGTGAAGAGATGAGATGGGACAGGAAAAACCAAGGAGTCCCATTAAAAGCAGTTAGAGGGACATCTGTTCTCCCCAGGAAAGGAAAAGTTTCATCCTTGTGGGATGAAGATCAAGACAAGAGTGTAACCCGTTATTACTACAAAGTTGTGGCTCAGCATGCCAGGTCTAACGACAACTGCTGTTCTGACACCATTGGGAGAAGCCCAACCACAGTTAAACATGCTGGTCCATTTCATCCCAAGACCCTCACAAGAAAGATAGCATTTCTACCAGTTTATGAATAAAACGGGATACAGAGTGACAACTTTGTAATATTGACATTTGTGGATGTATGTATCCTGAAGCTGAGATTTAAGTGAGCATTCTGCCCTTCCTTGTTTCCTCAAGATCATTCTCCAGGACTACTTTGTATGTGCCTTCTCACAAGGACCAAAGGATCGTAGTCCTTGGCCTTGTGGCTATTGAATGAAAGAGACAGAGAGAGGGAGAGGGAGAGACAGAGACAGAGACAGAGACAGAGAGACAGAGGGAGAGAGAGGGAAAGGAGGGTATTAATCTTCCTAGGTATGGTGGAAGAGAAGATTTTTTTGTAGATATGAGAGAGAAAACAGCCAGAGGGCAGAGGCAGAGACATCTGGGAGAAGCCAGAATGAACATGCAGACTAAGCCAGGCCATGTGAGGAGAGAGGAAGAGTGAGAGCTAGAGAGGAGTCACTGACCAAGAGATGGCAGCCCAGGCCAAGAGATTGGCACAGCCAAAATGACTGAGTTATATGGGGGCCAGAGGACCTGGGGAGAAGGGCAGCCCAGCCGCAGGGCTGGAGAGTTCAGGATAGAAGTAGGGTATTCTAGCTAGGAGGACCCTATAACAGGTAAGGGCTCAAGGATGCTGGGAGAACCTGGCAGCCAGAGTCTGCTTTCATATGTTAATAGGCATCTCAGCTGTTTGTCCTGGATTTGAGACCTAACAGCTGTCTAAGGCAGTAAGTGGGAATGAGGCCCTACAGTATGGCACACCGAATCCTGTCTGATAGAGACAAGTACAGAGAAATCAAATGTGCCCCTGCTTTTCAGAAGGAAAGGTAAAGACAAGCACAGACTGCAATGTGTGATCTAATAAGGAAGGTGTTCGAGGCCATATGGCACACAGACAAGACCGGCTTAGCCGAAACATGTTTTCTAAAAATATAGAATTGAAATCCTGGGTACAGCATGCCTCACCAGTTTCCCAGAGTACCAGATCCCCTCCATCAGTACCTTGAACTGTTAGCACCTAGAGACATTGGAGATCTCAATGCTATGGGAAAGGACCAGTGTCATCAAGAGATGCAAGGTAATAGGACAGTCTAAACTATAGTTCATAGTTTGGAACTGTCAGGAAGCAGCAAGAAGAGAAAGAGAGAGGGTGGATGGGAGAGGAGAGGGAGGAAGAGGAGAGGAGAGAGAAGAGAAAAGAGAAGAGAAGAGGAGACAGAAGAGTGGACTGACTGGTACTCAGGGCTTTGTGTATGCTAGGCAACTGGATTATACCCCCAGCCTGATAAGAGCATTTTGCTTCATCTCTACATCATTTGATTTCCTTGAATATTACAAAAGTACACTCTTATAGAGAGGAGATCCATTCACATTCAAACTAATATTTATTTGAGATGGACATTGATATCATTGAGCCTCAACTACATCCCAGGTACCACTAAACGCCGTAAGCACAGTGACAAACAAGACAAATAAAACTTCAGAGATTTCCAATGACAGATAATAAATAACTGACCAACTTAGCCAACTGATATGGAAGTGTACTATGCAGACGAAAAGGAGGAGAGAAAAGTGGAAGAGGGAGTAGTCAAGGACAAAAAGAAGAAAGAGTGGAGAATTGTGATACAACCAGTTTTATGTAGGTTCTATATAAGCTTCTCTGAGGTTGAGGCATAAAAAAAATGAGTGAGTCATGTAAAAAGGTCATGGGGACTGGGGAAGTAATTCATTGGCAGAGAATTTTGCTAGCATCTAAAGGCCCTGGGTTTAACCCTAGGTGCCCGGTAGATTAGATTAGATAGATGGTAGATGGATGGATGGGTGGGTGAATGGGTGGGTGGATAGATAGATAGGTAGGTAGGTAGATAGATACATACATAGATAGATGGATGGATGGACGGATGGATGGATGGAAGACAGACAGACAGACATCAAGCAAAGGGCTTTCCTGGCAGAAAGCACAATAGGTTCAAAGGCCCTGAGGCAGAAGTGTGCCTAGTGTCCTAGGCATAGAAAGAAGCCATGTGACAGTCGCACAGGGAGTTTGGGAGCAGGGTGGTCAGCAGTATGAGAGGGTTGAGGAAGTCAAGAGTGCAAGCTTACAAAGGGCTGTTGGGGGCATGGTGAGGATAGTATCTAAGAAGGGTGGATGCTAAACTTAGAGATGGTTACAGCCCAGAGCGATCATGAACATTAGAGCAATTGTCCATGTACTAACAGTTACATGATGAACTCTGTATATGTGACTATTCTTATTCAACTCCAGTCAATAATTTGACTGAATGAGCCAAATTAAAATGCAAGGTATATGCTTAACAGTGCATCATCAAAGAAAGCCATTTATCCCAACACAATCTGTGGGTTTGTCTTACCTTGTGAGCTTTTCCTTCAAATAGCGTGAGATTTATGCAGGACAGCGCTTTCGAGAGCTGGCTCCTATAGCCCTTCTTGCCGTCAGTACTTGGACCACTGCCACCCCCATTACCCATCCCCAGGGAAAGTTCCCTTGCCCTGTCATCATGCCTTCTGATTGCCCTCCACAGATAAAACTGTGAAGCTGTGGAAAGTCAGTGAGCGTGATAAGAGGCCAGAAGGCTACAACCTGAAAGATGAGGAGGGCCGGCTCCGGGATCCTGCTACCATTACAACCCTGCGGGTGAGTGTCATGGCTGTTCCAGCCATGCCTTTGACAGTCTGGGCCACCCGGGGCAGGGGAATGCCCCCCCCCCAAAGTTGAGCACATGCTGACCACGGCAGCCGATAATGACTATAATATGTGGTTGGAGGCACTGGGCAGGGCCTCAGCCTACCCATGTCGTGGCAGATGGGGGAATGGGAAAGGTGCCAGGCCCTAATGACTACAAATCTATGCTTCTCCTTTGTCCCTAAGGACTTGCCACATGGCCACCGCCATACGTTGCTGTACTCTTAGCCTGTCTTTTCACATTATCTAGCATGTCTTGAGCACCTTCTGTAGCTGGAATGAGGGTCGGCGCAAGGCTGCTAGGGTGGAAAGTCTGCCCTGGAGAACCCAAGCATCCGTATCTAACAGACCTGGGTTTGAACTCTGGCACTTGCCAGAACCTTACGTGGCTGTTGTTCTCACGTGGTGTCCTTGAGCTGCTTTAACTGACAGAGACCATGTAAAGGACAGATCATTTATTGTAGCCCACAGTTTCAGAGATTTTGTCCAGAGCCAGCTGGCTTTGTTGCTCTCAGGCCATCTGAGGAAGTAGTAATGGCAGTAACAGCATAAGTAGAGGTGGTGGTCAGAAAGCAAAGAGACACTTCATGGTGGTCAGAAAGCAAAGAGACAGACTGACAGGATGGAGCCAGAGACAAGATGCCCTCCAAAGACACATCCTTAGATCTACCCTCTCCAGCCAGGCCCCATCTTCCAATAATTCCACCCAATTCTGAACCCCAAAACAGACTGACTGTGGTTGAAGAGATCCTGTTTGATCCAGTCACCTTCAGGTGATTAGATCATCTACATGATGACCAGGACTTCCACACCTGAGCCTTTTAGGAGAAACTGCATTCAAAACACAATATGCACTTAATCCTTTCGAACTTTGGTCAGACAAGCTCCTTTTCCATTCTCCTCCTGCAACACTGGCCAGAAGTCCTATGGTCTGTGAACTAGTAAAGGGGAAAGGCAAGGGGTGGAAGGTCCTTCCACTGTAGGTGTTAATGCTCGGCATGTGTGTATGTAGCTGAAAGTTTTCCTGTGTCCCGCCTGGCCTGCGATCAGGACAAATCTCTCTCAGCCGCCAGTCCCACAGCCGTTTGGACGCTCAGACCCAAGTAAACACACAGAGGCTTATATTAATTAAAACTGCTTAGCCATTAGCTCAGGTCTACCACTGACTAGCTCTTACACTCAAACTCAGCCCATTTCTGTTAATCTATATGTTGCCACGTGTTCCTTGGCTTTACCTGTGTGCCATTACATGCTGCTCCCTAGATGGTGGGCTGGTATCTCCTCACTCAGTCTTCCTCTTCCCAGAATTCTCCTTGTCTGTTTATCCCACCTATACTTCCTGTCAGGCTACTGGCCAATCAGCGTTTTATTAAACCAGTGTACAAAAGCATTATTCCACAGCATTTGTAGGCTTTGTTCTCAGTCTGTGTGGCTTCCTTAGGGCCCTCCAGATGTGCATCGCCTGGTAAAGATGGGACCATGACAGCACTCACACTCAAATGGCCCTCACTCTACCCAGAGTAAGACGAATGTACAGACAGAGATAGCGAGTCATATGTCCAAAGGAGAAAGAAATGGCATTCGGAGGCCAGGAAAGGCCTGGGGGAGGGGGCGCTGCTAATACAATGGATTTCTAAAAACGGGCCATTAAGAGATACTCTGTAGAGCGGTGGTTCTCAACCTTCTAGCACTGTGACCCTTTAATACAGTTATTCATGTTGTGATGACCCCCCAACCATAAAATTATTTTCGTTGCTACTTCATAACTGTAATTTTGCTACTGTTGTGAATTGTAATGTAAATATCTCTGTTTTCCAATGGTCTTAGAAATCCCTGTGAAAGTGTCATTCAACCTCAAGAGGGTTCGAGACCCACAGGTTGAGAACCACTGTTCTAGATGTAGGTAAAAGTGGTTTAAGACTGGATGGTTTATTTTGAATCTGTTCAGTGTAAACAGTAGGTAAGAGCATGTTGGGACCAGCTCTAGCCCCACAGGACTTTCAGAACTGTAAACTATGTGCTTCTAGACATCAACTGCTGGTCAGAGGGCCAAACCTAAAAGAGGGGCAGCTGTGAAACACATGTGGGTGAGGAGAAAGGGTCTCCCTGTGGGTACACAAGCAAAAGTGAGCATGACTGATCACTGCGTGCCTTTACCGGCTCACGGCCTCATTCATTCATTCATCTATTTATTCATCAGCTGCTGGCCACTATAGTGTTAGGCTGTCGGGACTTCCTGTAATGATGGGCACCATGTCTTTAGTTGTGTTCTTTCTGAGCCCACACACATTGGCTGCTCTGTTTTTATGCCAGTTCTCTACCCCTTTATTAGACCAGGTTGGGGAGGTCTCAACCTGCCCTGCTGTTGTAAAAGTGCAGAGCTTTTGGAGAGCACAGAGAATCATAAGGACAAATAGGAAGGTCCAGGTGGGTTGAAGTGGGCTAGAAGTATGACCCTACTCCTCTCCAGCTGGTGATGGTGGGCATTTGACTTGAAACCTTATGTCTCCAGTGAATTATCTATAGAATACAGGGGACAGTGGTCACTGTTCACTGAAGTTCTTGTGAGGATTCACAGAGACACCATGTGTGTGAGACCAAGAGCTTCCCCTATGTAGTATCTGGCACACAGAGAACACTCCAAGTTAGCTGCCTATTTAGTGTTACCATCATCATCAACGTCTCCAGCCTTCATCATCATCGTCATCCTCACCCCCATCACCAGCATCAGCATCGCTTTTCTTACCCTCATTGATAATAGGCCTATATGTGTATGTGAGAGAGAAAGAAAAGTCATGTTTTTTCTTTCTATACTCTTTTATTCATTCCACAAGTTATTTATGGATTAAGTAGTAAGCACCTTGCTGGAAATAGGACAGGAATTAAGACTGTCTTTTGTCCCTTGGGACATGGCAGTCCTGTGCGGAAAACAACTGGACTAGGTGCCCCTGAGTTCTGCCGTGGACTCTGCCTGTAGTGACACGTTGTTCTGAAAATATCTCTTGCATCCAAAGAGACTAAACTCTTCCAGACCTTGAAGCAAAGTTAATATACCTTGAGATCATTTAAGATGATGTACCTAACCTGCTGTCCTACTAGGTACTTAACCTGTTTAAGTTTAACCTGCCTTTAAGAGAGCAATGTAAACAACCTTACTGTGCCTTGGACTGCCCACATAACCATCTTTTTCAGAACCTAAGCTAAAGCAGAGCTAATCTTGAGTTACATACTTCTCCATGCCCTGAGCCCAGAGTAATAATGTCTTTGTGTATGTGTGCGCCGTGATACTCATTGGCTGAAAGCAGCCATTGGGTTGGAAGCAACCTTAAAAGCAAATATGCACCACAAATGTTGAAAGCAAAATGCATACAGGCTGATGCCGTCTGTTTGCAGTATTGTTTGCCATTCTGGGTCAGTGGGGACTAGTAACTTTTTCCCTCGTAAAACTCTGTTAAATATTTCTGTGAAAGTTTCCCTCTTCTCTTTCCCATGCCACATTTCTGCGTTGTTCAATAAAGACAAAGAAACCCCCCTTGTTTAGGACAGACAGACACCAGGCACATGTATACACATGCATACAACAGACAGACCAGTGACCACAAGCTACAGACAGATGGAGGTACAGGGAGAGAAGTGAAAATTTTACATTTGGGCTCAGGCTTGATCAGATTATTCCAAGAGGAAGTACTTTGTTTTCATTTCTTTATGTGACATCAGTGCGTTTTGGTGCCTCTGAAATTATCTTTAATGTGTTAACTGATACATCTGCCTTTGTTTGCTTCGTGAGTGAAATTTTTCAGAGGCCATCTGTAGTGCCCACTATGGTTTCCCATTGCCAATGGCATCCTATGGGATTCTGTTTATCTCTGCCTAACCCCTTGAAGGCTCCATCCCAGTGACAGAGGAGAGAAGGCTATTTTACATTCCCACTAGAGATCAACTGTGGCAGACAATGATGCTAATGAAGTGAGCCCCAGATCACCCTGACAGAGACCCTGAGGTGTGGCTGCCAGTTAGAAATTAACAATTCGAACTCCAGGAGTTAGTAACCAGCTGTGTGGCACTGGACAGTGCCCTCCAGTTTTTCTCCTTTACTTTTACGCTGCCCAGCAGAGGGTTGGAAACATTTGCATTCTGAGACCCAATTTGCATTTTTGACTCTTGACACTGTTAAAACACCAGGGTCTGTGGTCGCTGGATTCTAACATCCACCAGGTCCCTTAGAATTGTGATTCTTTTTGAGCTTCTGTTACTTTTTGATCCTGGTGGAGAAAGGAGGAGATGAAAACAGCAAAACAAACAAAAGAAACACCGCCACCAGCCACTCTGGAAACCACAGATTCAGAACAGTGACCCCAAACAGAGATGTGACATCCATCAGACTCTTCTTGACCAACACACTCTGCTCTGGAATTCCGCATCACCAGCAATTGTGTTCCTCACCCACCCACCCCCACGATGATTACTGCTTGCTCATTTTCACAGTATCCGATTCCACGTGGGGCTCGAGCGCAGGAACATTTAATAATACCCGACAGCTAATTAATCCTCACTGCGTAACGAACCCATCCTGTTTCAATTCTGAGAGGCTCAGCTTTTTTAAAGCAAGAATGTGAGTCTGGCTTTTTTTTTTTTTTTTAATGGAAAATGTTCTTTCGAATCCAATCACTTGTTACCCAAGGAGGCCAGGAGGAGAATGTCTCCCTGCTCAGTATCCTTACATCCCCAAGATAATCATGATGATAATTGAGTAACACCCACTGGATGCTTTCTTACCTGATGCCTCAGTTCATCTCCAGAAAACACAATGAGGAGGACTGGGCAGGTTTGGCAAGGAAGTTGCTGGAATCTAGTATTTACTGAGGCTTTGCTGTGCTGCAAACAGGCTGCATTCCTTGTTTGTATCGGCTGCCCCCAGGAGCTGAGTCCACGGCTCAGGACACAAAGCCCCA